TTATTATTATTATTTATCATATTGCAAAATATGTTTTCGTAACGCAACGTTGTGGCTCGTACAATACATAACAGCCTCGCACAATTTTGCCCAATTGGATGTATTAATGCAAGGCTAGTAGTGAACTGGAATCGTTTTCATCGTACCATGCAAATCTTTTACGATGCTGAGCTCCGTGTTAGTTTTTGGGATTAAAAGCAAATTTGTCCTGCTGTTTGGACCTGAAGAAGATAAAAATAACAATACTAAAAATAAAGCCAGACCACCTTTTTCCTGCTGTGCCTGGCAATGACACCCCTGAGTGCTTCTGCTCTGTGTATAAACTCTCTCAGCCAAACACAACATGCACCTTATTGTCTAGGCACGTATTGATAGTACGTACGTATTAATATAACGTATCATGCACCTGCTAAATGTTGTGTTCATAAATTCGGCGAATTACTTTTTTAGAGTAAGAGGAATAATAATCCACGTACTGCATTCAATTACTTATGTTTATATTGTTGCGAATACATGCAGATTGGATAGAGTGGTGGTGCAGTAGTTAGCGCACCTATGAATCTTGCAAGTTTCCAGCCATCGATAACATTGGTGGCCGATATCTGAACTGATCCTGGTTGGTCCATTTTCACCAATCCCACTGACTGGTGTGGTAAAGTATGGTAAAAAGAAAATATTGGCCTGGCCTAAAACCTTAATCCAGCAGTGAATTACAAAGGGCTGAAAAGTATATATTATATATATAGATGCCAGCACAAATATGAACATGGAAATATACAGGTATGTATGTACATACACGTGGTGTATATACATATGCATATGTTACACATATACGATGACTTGATTAATAACCCACCCCGAGCTTAACAATACCTACTCCGATTCTAAAACGAGACAAATACGTTGCCATTAAATCACACACGATCGTTTTGTTATTGTGTGAATCCTTAAGGAAATTGCTTTTTTTTTCAGACATAATTGTTTGACATTGGTCAAATGAGTGCAGTGATTCACACACACATTATGAACTATATGAATCACTTAAGACGGACTCGCCAAGGTTAAGGAAAAAGGTAAAAATACATAAGCGTGTCAGACGCGCGTGTCTGTCTCCTCTTAACCTGCTTTGTCACACGCCGATTGTGGCTGACGTAAAAATCTGTACTGGTGCCTCAATTTGGTGGCGTAATTAGCCGGAAAGTGAGCCGCGCAGCGTTGTGCCGGTAATTGACGGAGTAATTACCGGATTAAGTCTGTGGGTACCGGGCTCTCGCTCATGGGGGCCGCCACGGTAAAAAAAAATAGGGGGGGGGGGTAGGAAAAAAAGAAAAACCCAGAGCAGATGGGCAATCCGTGGGTGCCAAATTAGCGTAGAGTTAGTAGGGGGCTGATAACCTCCTCGGGATAATTAATCCAAATAACGGCTTAAAAACTTTGGCAGAATGAGGCAAATGCTGATGTCATCGCCTCTTGTGAGGCAAAGGTTGCGGTAAACAAATGCTTTCGAATTTATAAAGCTCTATTTTGGAGACAAATTAATCCTCCGCGTATTGAGAGAGAAAAGTTAATAGTTCAGCGTTGTTAGGCTGCGTGTAGGTTGATCGTTGCGCTTTGTGATGCATTCATTTTTTTTTTCAAGCGCGTTCTACGTACGGCGTACCAACGAAGCGTTTTACGTTTACTCCAAGTGCAGGACGTACTACAAAAATTATCGACGCCCAAACACATAAATTGCAAGAGTATACATTTTTTTAAAGCATTGATGGCAGACTACAAACATCTGGATATGGCCTTCGTGAAGGGCCTCTTGCCTAATGGTACAGAATTTTTATGCAGCCAATTGCTGGCACATACTGTAATTTACTAGAATATCATTTTAAATCATATCTAATGAATACGTTAAATGCACAAGTGCTGTTTGGAATGGAAAATTCGAGTGGATTTTACATTGCTGCCTGCGAGTCCAGCTGCATGTTGAACTAAAGTTGCCCCTTCGTAAGATTTTTGAGGCGATAACTCCGTGGACAGTTTCGTCATTCGTGGGTTTGCACAGTTTATTTTACTTTACATCTTTTCCAAAGACGAATGCATCCGACCTGAGTTATCTCTTTACAGGCTCTACTTGTTTTGTTTATACCATTGAGTGTGAGCAGTGATAATGCAAGACCGATATTCTTTAAGAACTTAGTTTATTTGTAAAACGAATTAAGCAAATTCATGTGCGTACATTTTTTTTACAAATCCATTTGATGTTGAAAAATATCACTGACAAAAACAGAAATACTGTCGGGGGCTTTCTGGCTTGTGATGATGTTTTAAGAGCATTGAGCTAAAATCACTAAAGTCCGAGGTCTGAATCCAGGCACCCAGCTGAGATTAAAATGTTCTCCAGTATACCTCGATGATCGGGCCACAGACGATGATTGTACAAACAAGAAAAAACATAATTCAGACCTTTTCTTTTTACTTAATCTAACCTCTTCCAGCTCGAATGGCTTGCTTGGCAATAAGACTCAAATAAATTGCTCACTCAGCTGTGCAGCCGTTGAGCAGTCTACATGTTGTGGTAACATAAATGCTTGAAGGACATGGGACAAAAGACCTGTGATGTCTTCTGGGTCGTGCCCCAATCTTCTGCTGTTGTCAGGAGTTGCAGAAACGGTCTCCTCCTCCCTACCTAAATTACAATAGCAAAATTGGCTTATATTATAAAAAGCAACACTTTAATACTAAATTTTGATTTAAAGCTTTCGTGACTGCAGGGATTCATATTCTTGGTTCTTTCGGTAAAGTCACGTATAAGGGAAACAATAAAATAATAAAACATTTAAAGCAATACAATTCTCACGTCGTTTCTTTTTTCAAATTTTCTTGCTGTGGTTTTCACACCTGATGATGATTGCTTGTGTTGCAGTCGAAACGTCGTGAGAATTTTATTGTTTTATATTTTTATTATTTTATTGTTTCCCTTATACGTGCCTTTACCGAAAGAACCAAGAATACTTTAATACTATTTTAACTGTGTTTTGATAAGGCAGTTTATATTACAGCCTCTGGCCATTTTTACTATGCAATGGATGCAGCTCTCATTTAGTGCATATAAATATTAGTGACTAATCAATTGACTGATGTTTTCAATTAATTGGCACAAACAGCCGGGCAATTTATTCATTTGAACAGCTCATTAAACTGACCGGGTTTTAAAAAAAAAAACCTCTTTTTTCTCTCCACAGTTTCTTTTTCAGCAGCACGATGTGTTGCTTTTCCTTCTTAATTCTTCACAGGCCACCCCAAACAGTGTCCACCGACGGCTCATGTGGCTTTCACTCACGTAAACAATAACACGTGTGCACAGAGATGGCTCGCTCGCATGCCTGCACACCCAATGCGTATTTGTGAGTGCAACGTTTGCGGCTTCCCCACGATGAATATGTAGAATGCTGCGGGCTCGTTAAAAAATATATAATTTGTTGACATTGGAAAAAAAAGTTGTTGAAACGGCTCATTGCAAATACATGAAAAGTAATTTTAAGCTAAGTTTTTATTCATGTAAATTTTCATTTGGGTACATTGTTAATTCATGATGGATTGCTAAAATTTGTTTACTAATAAAATGTTAACATTTATTTATTTGAATTGGGATGTTCATTATATTTAAAGATGTTCTTACAAAACATCCATTCAGTGCAACCAACTGTAGAGTATTCTGATAATTATTTCCTCCCAAAGCTTTTGAAATACTAGTTTATATATATGTAAAAACACTGAAGCACAGAATAAAATGTATTTCAGTGTTCTTCTCGAACAAAGTGCCATTTGTAAGCCCCTTGATGAGGTGAAGGTTTTTTTGCAGGTGCATATAATTTGGGAGCGCTGAACACACCCAGCCAATATTAAAGTGTGAGACACTTGATGGAAAGCAGAGTGATAGGTATTCTGACCTCACTGTTCAATGAAATGTCTTTTGGGGGCGTGGGGGGTGAGATAAAACACTAACCGAATTCAATTTAGGTAACTTTAGGTGCACAACGGCAGTTTTCTCTAATGGGAACCACTTGACCGGCAAGAGAAGGAATGGACCAGTTCGCTTATTTCTGTGTGGGTGGCAAAGTGGCACATCAAGCCAACCACAGCGTCCACTTGAATACAAAACATTTGGACGGTGAATGTATTTGCTGCTTGCAATTGAGTTGTCAAATTACTGCAATTTTCGTTGTTGATTGCTGTCATCAGTCCACGAGCAATTTCCAAAAAATAATAATTTTAACCAACTTTTACACTTAAGTATTACGTGGTTTCATAGAAAGTGGTAAAATGTGTGATTAGAATAAATACATCAATAAGTCTGTGTTTATATATATGCATGGTGAGAGGATAACAAGGCTACATTTTGATGTTATTTTGCCAATACCAGTTACAATTAGTTTCCGAATATGGTCTGGACTACCCTTAGGTCAACTCAGCCGTAATTAAGTGTACTGTTCAGCTATATAACTACACTAAGCATTGAGGAGGCCATGGTGACCAGGTACTCTGTTTGCCACACTAACCCTTCCTGTGTGAGAGTGACTGTAATAGTCCCTCGTTGAGCACTGGCTCGTAGAGACCATTAAGTCATGGGATATTAGTGTCATCTATATTAAAGTAATTCAGAGCCCTTTTCAATTCGCCTCTGGATGAAGGGGGCTCCCCCCATGTTGTGTCTGCCATTACGGTTGTTTGATCATACTTCACCACGCTGGTCAGTGTGCGATGCTGAAGTGAGGGGTACGATGCAGCCAGAACCAGTTCACGTATCATTCACCACTCATGCTAGCTGTGGCCAGGAATCAAACTGAGTTAATCGGTTTATAACCTAATGCGCTTACCATTGCGCCACCATTCCACGTTTAAGAATTTATATCTGAACTTTAAATTTATTTTATTGCATTATTATTGAACATCTTTCCGCACAAGCTCAGCTACCTCCTTTAACTTTGATTGTCCTTTTCATTTCCCAGGAAATTATCCTGAAGCGAGCAGCCGACATCGCCGAGGCTCTGTACAGTGTTCCGCGCAACCACAACCAGCTGCCGGCCATCAACAACTCCCCTCCCGGCCTCCCAGGCATGATGGGCATGAACTCCTTTGGAGGGCAGCTCGCCATCAGCGTGTCCGAGGCCTCCCAGGCCGCTGACCAGGGTAAGCCACTGTCCGTCCGCCTCCAGCCAGAATCACCACAGTTTAGGCATCCGTGTGACTCACGACGTTGGTTTTATCGGTTGTGCTGTACAGCTCTCTGATGTGTTTTTGGGTTGTGCCGCATTTTGTAAAGCATGACAGCTGACGTTTCACTCCACATGCTGGGAGCTTTTTAAGAACTCAATCCTGATGGACGAAGATTGACTGGGGGCTTCATTGGAAGGCCATGGTTACCGGAGGAGAGTGTATGAAGGGGAGGACAGTGAGATGACAGGGGAGAGGTAGAAGAGCATGTGGAAAGTATTAGAGTGAGATCAGAGGGGAGAGGTAGGAGAGTGTGCAGAGGGGAGTAGAATGAGATGGGAAGTCAAGAGTGTGAATTGAAGGGAGTAGAGTGAGATGAGAGGGGGGAGAGAGGTAGTCAGCAGCGAATCTGTGGAAGATTTTCAGGGAGGCGAGTGGGCGATTTAGAACAATGAATGCACGGTACATTACGTGATAATCATCGCTCCATCTGTGTGCCCGTTGCAGGGTACACGCGCAACAGCAGCAGCGTCTCGCCGCACGGCTACGTGCCGAGCAGCACCCCGCAGCAGTCGCATTACTCGTCGGTGAGCAGCAGCATGAACGGCTACGGGGTGAGCGGGGGCATGGGAGGCCTGGGCATGGGGGCGTCGCCCGGCTACCTGACCAGCTCCGGCGGCTCTCCCTACGGCAGTACGTGTCCTGCGCCCCTCTTTTCATCGGGTCTGTTTTCCGCTTTATTCGCACCTCACGCGCATGACATGGGCAAAAATGTAGATGCGTGCAGTGATTCCTAGATACACCTGGAACATTGACCAGCGCAGAGGGTTTGACCACAACTGATGGCGAGGTTTTTTTTTTAAATCGAGATGATAATTCCTCGGGCGTGTCCATTTTCCAAATAGAAATATCCCTCGAAACAATTACTGTTGATTGAATTTGTGAATGCCAGTTTGAACGTCATAACATTATCGAGATTTTAAATGTAACTTGCCTCAGTGATATGATAGAAATCTTTTGGAGCCAAGCCAAATTTGTGAAGATTATTTAAATACGTAACAAATGAGTGCAGCAATAACATTTTTTTTTAAACATTATCCAAGAACCAATTGAATACTCTGCATCTCACCAATTGGTTCTTGTTAAATAATGGTGAAAGCCTCGATTTATGTGCAAGCAACTGATCAGTAGTATCCTTTTTCGCAACTTGTACTCAAGCTGGATGCCTTGACCATGTTTAATGGCATGACCACTAAATTATCTCCTTTCTGAGCAGTTTATAACAGTTAAATCCGGTCTCCCTGGTGATCCGTGCAGGGGTCTCATGTCTGCAAAATATATAATGCTGTATTTATAAATGTAATCAGCTACATTGTCATTGTTAGTCACTACATCCACACTTTAGAATTGCAGCAGAATATATATCCCTTCTCATACTTAATCTTAGTTAACATTTCTTTAAAACAACGTGCGTGCACCTGGAAATTAAATACAGCACAACATTGCATATCTGACCATCACCCGCTATTTCCAATTAACCATCCACGCCCAGTGCAGAATGTGTGCTTGCCATGACTGTCATATTGTGTAGATGTACATAAATATGACCCTTTACAGAGGAATTTATTCTTAATTTTGCTTATATTTGCTCTTGCGGTGAAGCATTTGTCATGTCGAAACATTCATTAATAATACTCGGCAATGGTTTGGGCAATGGTCATAGCACATTGGGGCCATTGAAGAAGGTCAATTGCCCAAAAAGTCACCTATTATATATTTTTATTTTAAGGACACAGTGTTGTTATTGACAAATGTGTTGAGTTTTTTTCGTCAATTGTGCTTGTGCCCAGCTGCCAACGCAGCAGCATCACCAAATAATTTGTTCGATGTGTAAACCAGTTTGCACTATATTTAACCAGAATACAACGTGTGCATGGTGTAGCAGTCATTTTCTATCGACGTTCACATATCCGATATTTTTACACGTCCGCCTTAATACCTCAGTCCCCAGCGAGTAGGATATGCGACATTGTACTGCCCATGCACTATCAGTTACGATCTCCAGTAAAAAAAAACATTCATATCCATTGCCCAAATAAAGCACACACCACAATTCTTCCTACCCCCCCAGTTTGCCTTTGTTTTGCATTGAGCAGCACCAAATAAGCGCCGAATAGCACCGATAGCGAGACTCCGGTACTCGGCCGCCATAAGTGCTGCTGCAGGGTCTAAGCAAATCATAGCTGGGCTGACTGACCACCTGCGCATGTGCTTCCTTGTGCTTACAAACAGTGAAACAGAAGAGTGCATTCGCCCCAGTGGTCCGGCCGCAGACCTCCCCTCCCCCGACCTGCACCAGTGCCAACGCCAACGGTCTGCAAGGTGTGCTGTACTATCAGAACAAGCTGAAGAGCGATTACAACTGCTCTGCCGCTGTCTTTAACCACTCGACGAATTGACAATGCCTCCATGGCAACCGCAGTGTAACAAAAAACAAATTCTCGTGCGCAAAAAATTGTGACCCACCCCAAAAGACTGAGAGAATTTCGCTGTCGGGGGGGGGGGGGGGAATAACAAAAAAATACGCACAGGCAACTTACCGAACACTTAGCGTACGACTGCCCTGTGTACCGTGCACACTGGACGGGTCTCTCCTTGCTCTTCTGCACAACTGCATTTCATCAAAATCGAGCACTCTTTGGCATACATCATAATTATGATGAATTACAAGATAATGACATTTTATGTTTCTTCTGATGCCCGTACGGTCTCCGTTTTCTAACTTCGAGAGGATCACTTGCCATTTTTTTCTGCATTAAAAAACGTTACTTGATGTAAAATGTGTACAATATTTCGCGAAATATTTAAAAGAAAAATAGTGGTTGGATTACCAGCATGGACGTGTAGCCAAACGTTTCAATCATGCTGATTGGTTGGGAATTATTTTACATGTGAAGGTTGTGACCATTTACATGTTGTTATTTTTTTAATTATATTTATTTATTTTCATTTCATCAACCTGAAATAAATTTCTGAAAATTTGTTTTGGAACAAGCGTCACATTAGTAGAATTTTAAAATAATTATATACATAAACATGACTCATTAAGTGAATGAAAATAATTTAAACTGAAGTATATTTCTTTTTGTCGGTGCACCACGTAAGTGTAAATTGCAATGTCTGAAACTCTAGATGTCCTCCTCGACGCAACTCGTCAAGTGTAGATTAATTAGCAAACGAATCCGGCCTCTTTTTCAAATACCAGCTTCAGAGTAGCAAAGTTGTAAATATGTTGGGGTATTTTTTACTTGTTAAATGTTAAACTCTTTTTTTTTGCTAAAATATTTTACTCTGCGTTGGATACATCATTTTTCATTTGCGCTAGCAATGCTTTCCCATGAGTAACAGAACAAGAAACAGTTTTAAGCACGTCGGCCTAATACGTTGCCATTAGGGCTTATTGGGAGGAATTTGAGAGGTGCCTGTTCGTTAAAAGCTAGGCAATCTCGCCTTGTCAGATGGCGATGTTTTGTCTCAGTCGACGCAAGACCTAACGGGCTCAGTCGTGTTTTGTCTAATGGAGTAACTGTGCTTGCTCTCCTGGGAGGCCGAAAATACAAGTGCATCTACTGCTGTCAAGATGGCCCAGAAATGAAACCCGCTACACTCTATCTATAATATATGTAGCAACAATAAGTTTTATTTCGTATGCAAACAAGCATCTTATATATTTTTTTGTTGCCTTGATAAATTTATATTCTGTAAGTGCACTTTTCAAACATTGGTAGGATTTTATCTGTCAAATTTTCGATGTGATGTGTTTTCTGCATTTGGAAAGAAAAATGTGAAATTTCCCAAACAGAAGTTTGTCGTCTGTTTTCCGATGTATTCTAGAGTTGCGTAAAGTCAGTCATTTACATGTAAAAGAAAATGCAACCGTGTGATTCTCTGGGTGTGATTCTATATAAACGAGTCACCTGTATATTTTGTGTTATTGAAATGTGGTGATTTAAATGTGTAAATATTACGCAAATGTTTTAGTAGATCTTAATTGATTAAGTACCCTCGTAAATGTTATAGTTCTATTAAAATATTGTACACAAGCCTGATTTATCTCTTTCACATTTTTTACAGTCATGTCTGGACTGGTGGTCCCTCCCATGTGATCTGAATATCAACCAATCAGCGCCAAGCCATGACACTAGATGGCTGGCCTTACACGAAGGACTAGAGTCAAGTCACCACACTTCAATTCAGGCTGAATGCAAGAAAGGAAACAAAATACTGAAAATACAACCATGCTAAAAATCAAATTTTACAATTTTGGCATTACTGGCAAAAAAGCATCAGAGCTGAGGACTGTTTACTTCACCTGATGATTGCTTCAACGGTGGCCTAATGAACATGAAATCTGTTTTGGGAAACCGATATTCAAAAGACTTTGTACGAAAACAAAAAAAAGTGGTACTTTGGAGCTAGAGTTGAATGTGAATTCTTAGATTATTGTTTATCACGGTGTTTTTGGGTTGAGATTGACCTTTTTCAGCCAGAGTTGTGTACGAACCACGAATGTGTAAATCTTTAGTTTGTGATCAGGGCTAGGGCTGTTGGGTGAGGGGTGGGGGGGCAGGGGGGGGGGGATGTAAGTTAACTTTGGTGAAGAGACACGATATATAAAGTTTCGTTTACAAAAAAACTTCCATATTAAAAAAAATGAAATAAAAAGTGAATAAAACAGAGCTTCCTGTGAAACAAAACAAAGAATGGAATACGAAGTTTGTAGTGCTGTACAGAATTGGTACTGTATTATGTAAGTATATGATACCTGTAACTTTGTGACGTATCGCTTAAAAAAATCCCACATGTATGCTGTCCTTAGAGCTTTGGAAAACATTCCGTAGTGTGTTTATACGTAGTCATGATTAGTGTAGACTCTATTGTGGTTTCACCAACACTATTTATATTAAAGGTTGATGTCTTGACACAGATTTTTTTAGAAATAATAACTGGTAAGTCACTTTTAAAAGAAAAAAAATGAAGTGTTCAATGTTGAAAAAACTTTCATGGACCATTTTTTTATTGCTTGTAAATGCATTTATATATATTGTAATTATTTTTGCCATTGGTTTATTTGTGTCTTGTAAATGGCACGGCTTTATGCAGGAACTTTGTTTTTTATATTAAGTGCTACAATGTGAGCACTGCAAACCTTTAAATGTGTTTTTATTAATTATTATTATATTATTTCACTTTTTTTAATGCTTCAATTTGTTGCTTAACCAAACCAGTGTTTATTTTTTATATATTTTTGTATAAGTTATCTGCCAAAAAAGCCTTTTAATTTTTTTTGTTTGGTTTTGTACGAGCGCATTTTTGCGTGTTTTCTTCTGTTTGAAGCTATGGTACTTTGCAGGTAAAGTTGCTTCATTTCCGTCATAGCCATTTCAAATGTTTGAAGCCAGGCATCACCTGTGTTGATGACGTTGTTCATGAGACATATCTGCTTATTAAACAAAACTGCCTGTAATTCCGATGAGATGCACCTACTACTTTCATACATTTCTCTTTAATGAAACAGATTTAAACGTGTTTTAGAAATGTTCAATTAAATGGTTGAATTAAAAAATATATATTAGTCCTTTGCCTGTGTTCACTTAATATGGTTTGAGCCCTTCTGTGGAAGTACGATTCACTTTTTAGAGTTTAGACAAAAAAAGGATATACAAAATGCGTGGTGAATATATATTTATTTTGTGAAAACGACGTGATGGTGTCACTTTGGCCACAGATTCAATCCAATGTCCTTAGATTAAGATCAGTGCAGCAATTGCATCAAAGACATCAAAGATCTTCCATCCCCGAGCCCTTGGTTCTGAATGAACTCGATCGATGCGCAACAAATCACAGGTTTTGTTTTTATTTGAGGACCTATATCTTTACGACATCACTCGGGCGATCCATACTGCATCAAGCTGGGCACGATAATGAAATGATGACGGTGCAATGGCGCGATCATACATCGCATCCCAAAGCGGGGTCGGCTGGCTAAGTGGGGACCTCATTTTAAAAAGTCAATTTTCTCACTGGGTCAATAGCCTGCAATGGCCCCGATTCGATAGGGATAGGGACAGTGTGGGCATCGATAGCTTTCCCAGCGTCTCCATTGTGCCGCTTGATTAGCTTTTTAATGATTATTCAGAGAGGTTATCAAGGTCTTCCGAGGGCTGAGTGTAGGGCTGATAGCCCATCTGTAAATTAGCAAGTACCGGCAGATGTTTTTTTGTTTCGTCATTTTCATTAATAATGTAAAAATAAGAGCTGTGTGATGTCCACATAATTTAGAGCGATTATAGGCATTCATGCTTTTATATCTATATATCTATAACATGACGTTACCTGCAACATTGAGGGAGATGTTAATCTTTACCCCTAATATCTGTAAGAGCACAGCAATACAAAAGAATATCCTAATGCTACATTTAACATGTCGTGTCAGTTGGGCTCCTATAAAAGCCTCGAGCAGTATGCCTGGCTATAGTACTCTGTAGAGAGCAAGAATAAATGCTTCGCAACAAGTCCTGCTTCTCTGATGAAGCTGTATGAGGGACCATGGCGTTATGACGGAGGAGCTCTATTAACGGTAATGTTCCATGAAACACTGCCTCCATTACGTTCTTCATCATGTCGTGATCATGTTTCACTGCAGAGGAGCTAACCCAGCATGTACACAAGTTGGTAATCCTAAAGGTCGTGTGGAGGCCAAGTGGGTTTTGATGGATTTTTTTTGCCACATATTGACATCTGTGAAAGATAGTTGGATATTGATGAAACAGTGACCTTTTCCAGAGATGGGCCGTTGGTGAGTTTGAAGGACTGACTTTACAAAGTGTAGATTTTCTCCCCCATGACTTAAACGATGGAAGCACTTTCCACCACTGTAATCTCAAAATCAAACCCCTACAAAGCCTTTTAACACGGTGCAAGCGGCTAGATATTTTAATTGTGGATAATACAAATTTTAAGGAATTATTAGGGTGAATAGCAGTGGCAAAGCGCTTAGCACACTCCATTATAAACCCAGCGACCCGAGTTTGATTCCCAGTCACAGTCAACATCAGTAGTGAGTGTTATCTGAACAAATTCTGTGCCCTGAACCGAGTGACCTGAGTTGGTTTCCCTCCCTTGCCAAAAATATGTGGCGAAATATACCAGAACCCCCTTTATAAACCTGCACTGACCAGTGCAGTGAAGTATTGTCTAACATCGACGCATGATAGACATGGTATTGGATTGACAAGGCACTGCAAATGTTTTTGAAGAAATTCTAATTAAAAAAAAGCATTTGCTTAGAACTCGTAAATAAGTATTTATTGATTTAAAGCTTTCGTGACTGCAAGTATTTATTGGTTGCCATGAAGTGGGAAATCCCAGATATAAACTATAACGCCATTTCTATTTTGCCTGATTATTACCCCACATCAGGTTACTCAAAGAACACAATTTACATACCTTTAATAATGTACATTCCCACGCGAATAGATATAAATGTGGGTTGATAGCCACTTTAATGTATCTAATGCCATTTGAGGTGCAATTTAAATATTTGTCTGCTACTATTTTCCCGCTGTTGCTAAATAATGAAGGATGCTCAAGTTATTAAGAGTGGTGTTGTGGCAAGAGCTCTTAATCTCTCCCAACCATCTCCAGTTAAGAGTAACATATAAAATCAAAGGGTAAAGGTGCAGCCCTACAATTTCTTGTTCGTGCCACTGCTGGCGGAAGACCTTTAGAGAGGCTCTCAAGAGAGTATTTTGGCCTACTATTCTATGCTGACCAAACATCTTGTAAGTGGCGGGAGTAGCCACACTTTACGCCACCACGTGCGGTTTATCCATTGATGCTGCTGGGTTGACAGGAGGTGGACGGGGGGAGAGTTTAAGAGACTTGCCCATTGTTTCAATTTCTAAGGGATTGAACCGGTGACCTCTGGATTGCAAGTCCGGTGCGCTAACTGTAATACCACGGCAGTTTGTCTAAAATATGACGCAATAAATTACAATATGGCAAAGCACAATATTTAGTTGCAATAACTCTGCATATCGCACATCTTCATGCGTACACTTCAACATGAACAAGTATTTCACGTTTATAAAATGTTACGTCGTTCCACTTATTTGGCGATGAGCCTGTATTGCATTTCATAAAAGACTTCCGAGGCTGATTCAGCCTTCCAGAAGGAAATTAAAAGTATTTACTCAAACGGTATCCACTCTCAGCACCCAACATCATGCCACAGCACTGAACTCACTGAACCCATGCGACTACACAAGTTCCATGCCAAGACGAACCAGAAGGTCCAATGCCTCGCATAAGCCCTGTGCAACCACAAAATTATCCAAACTGAATATATCACACACACATTGGCTGGCAAACCCACACAATCAATGGGTATCATATTTGCAGTGTTGTTTCTTATCGCGATTAACTTACTTTCGCCAATGAGGTTTTGCGTATATCTGTATGAATCACACAATGTGCTGTTTATACGCACTGGACGTGTTTATGGGGGTTAGGCTTTTTGTAATCATAATTATTCTGTAAGGTAATTTTTTTAATGTAGAAGGGACAATACTACACGTACACCAGGACTGAATCTCCATAACGTATTTTTGTTTGCAATTCCTAGATATATTTTCATACGTCTAGTTTTTGACTGAAATGGCATTAAGTGCACGTTTATGGGTGCTTGCGGTGTTAACAGTCATATATATTAAAATAACCTAGGGATTGAAATAAAATAAACGTCTCTTGAAGTTTCTGGTGAATGGCTTTGATCATAACTAATGGGTGCTGATGAAGACCAATAAGCATGCATGTAGAACATTTGTGTCTTATTTCAATGCAATTTTAATTCCCTTGCACTTGTTTCAAACAGTAATTACTCAAACATTTTTAAAACGTACAGTGTGTAAGGGCTGCTGTAAAAATAAACACGGCAAAATGTTACGTCGGGAATTTCTTTTTCTTCTTAATTATAAATAATTTTATTTCAAAATCTTTACACAACGCCACTAAACGCAGCACAACCCATCGCGGTATAAAACCGCAGCCGAAGTTGGATAAACTGAAACATTTTGCCACCGGTCTCGCCTACAGACGCGAAAAGTATGAGGGGCATTTTTAGTGCGACCACCCTCGATTTAAATGGCAATGACAGTGCCAAGGAGGATAACTTGCAGGACTAGAAACGTGAACAGTGTTTTAAATGGAAAGTCGTGTTTAGTTTGACACAGACAGTACAGATGGAGTAGATATTTATGTATGGCATCATGCCATGTTCTCCGTCGCTCTGGCTTGGCTCACCAGATGCTGCGGCGGGCGGCAAGTCATAATCCGTTTCCACGCCCATGTAAAATGCACATACGTCCCCGTTTTAATGTTTGTATATTGTGGGGAATCTTTTTTTTACATGGAAATAAATTCTATAACACTCTAAATGCTTTTCCATCACTGTAATGAACAAATATTACCATTGAACTCAAATATAAGATATACCATATATTGTTTTACATTTTAAAACCCAGCATAGTTATAAATATCATCCCAAAACATTAATCGTCATCAGCCATGATCAATCCACTGCTGTCCAAAACATGACCTTAAATACTCTTTGGAATATCCGGCATATACGGCAGTTTTGACATTCACTGCGGAAACACGTTCTCAGACTGCTTTGACACCATGGACAGGTCTCCAGCCTTCTGTCCTCCTCTCCCGAGATTTTTGTTCACGGTGGTGTCGCGCACTCTCTGCTGCCCTCTCTCAGCGAGTCTCTGCGTGTACACGTCATGGTGCAGCTTTCCCCCCTGGGCTCAAACTCACAACTGATCGGGAATTGCGACGATCGTCAGCGTTGGGCCTTACTAACCTCTGCGGCTTACACCGATTTGCAAGCTGGTCGTTCATAGGAGATGATTGCAGAGGCGTTAACGTGACAACCTGTTGTGCAGTATGAAAAGGCCATAAGCAATACTTGGATTGTGCAACTGTTCTAAGCAACTGGAACTCAACAGGAGCCGAGAACCAGTGTTCTGTGTTGTGCAGCACAGCGAGCATGAACAAGAGGACATTTCAGCAACTACAAGGCATGATAATTGATCAGCCTAGATGATACGTTAACTCAATAAACCCCTGTTCCTTGCAGCTCCGCTTCCAATAAATCAATCGGTAATTGTGAGCACATTACATACGGGTGCATGCTTACTTTAACACGTATATACAGGTATAGGATGTGCATAGAGCCATTAAAGAGGAAACCCACGTATTTAATGTGTTTACTATTCATGCTTGCTGTGTATTTACCATGTTGGTGTAATTCAACAATTCAGAATGCATTACATATGGAACAAAAACCTTAAGTGGGTATTTTTAAATGTCGTAATTTCAGAACTGTTATTTTGTTAACAAAACGCTTGACCCCCCCCCTCCTACTCGCCTCCCTCTACCATTTTTTTTTTACCATGTCTACGACATTTAATTTTACAATTCTATAAAAAAAATTATATCAAGTTATAAGTTTCATGTTTCACTTCCAAGTGTCTGTTTTTGAATTGATTGCCACCCACGATTCCCAGATTCCAGCTCAGGCCACCCACACTCCTGCCCCCGCGTCTCGGACTCCAGCCCAGAGATCCTGGAACTCTGCCTGGACCTTCCTTCCGGCCTGCCACCCGTACCTTCTGGACTCGTGCCGTGGCCGCAAGGACTCGCTGACTTCCTGTCGACACGACAAGCCTTGACACCAAGCCATATCCCACCCAGAGCTCAAGCTAGTAATTTTGGCGCCCGGGGCAAGGTGCCATCCTCACACTCTTCCACGCCTCCTGCTACCGTGGCACTGGCGAAGCCCCCCAAATATTGGCGCTACCAACCACCACTGCTTGCTTCGTATCTAACGATTCGGCGACACAAACGGGCGGTGCCGCCCCACCGACCCACTCACCCTGTCCTTGCCACGGCACTGGTCTCACAACCTCTTTTCAAATAACCTCCCTCCTTTAGTTTAGAAACGATTTTCCTAAAGATCCTCCTCATGGGTCTGTAAGTCATGAACAGAATCGCTAACATTTCACACACACACACACACGCACGCAAGAGTCAAAGCCCATGCTACAGGCATTTTGGCAGTACCAGGGACCAGCTGCCAGGCTCTAGATGTCATTGCCCATATCCTGCACCCACTGGTCCTACACACTTTCATACAAAGTTCCCATTTCAGAACAAAGCACTCACAACACAGACAAGGCTTTCACAGTTGGTTTGATTCTCGCTAAAGAGCAAGCCTCATCTGTTGCCAGTCAGCCATATGGTATCAATCTCTGCGTATTGTTGGCAGTTTGAGTGAAGCATAACTCAGAACTAACACAAGCAGCATGTTGGCATTTAGGCATGTAATCCTTGTTAATGGAGCGTAGGTCACCTGATCGGGCCTATTCTGACTCTCCCAATAGTTTGGGTCACTTGATTTTGAAATCTGGACACTGGGTTCACGAGGGTTAGCATTGAAATGCCAAACAACGTTAAATGTAAATCTTCTCTCAAGAAATGCCCTGTATATATGCGGTGTCGATGGGCGCACATCTGAAGGTAATGAGCCTACATCACATAACCCCTTAATTCTTAATGAAGTTGAGGTCAAGTGATCAAGCAATCACTCTCTGAGAAAAAAGAAGGTGCAATAAAGGGCAAGGGTCTGGCTACAGCTAGCTATTGCAAATTGCCTCACTGAGTCCCTATGTAAATTCTCATTACCACACGCTTACATTAATGCACATGAAATACAACAGTGTGCGTTATATTATTATCCAGTGCCAGCAATTTACCTCACAATTAACGCTGCACGGCATTGCACGCTGTGACAGTTTGGACACAGTTATTTTACGAGGTACAATTCGTAATTAGCCATACGTTTTAATAACGCTCGTGGTAAACCGCCAATTTGTGAATGCCCGTTCACATGACTTTAAACAGTACCTGACATAACAAAACATATCTAAGAGTCGGCTAACCAACTTTTATTTAACTAATCCTCATAATACATCCTGGGGAAATTAATGAATGCGAACAAATTGATCTACAATGTTTAACTTGCCTGAAATGGAGACTGAGGCATTTGTTTTAGGACTGACGAAAACATTCCCCTTCGTGTTAAAAGGTACTGTCGATAACATATAACTTTTCAAACATTGTGTAAATGGAATAATTTTTCTGCAAGTTAACTTCTGGAAAATCACATTAAATACTCCCAGGGAGCAATGGGACTTACATAATGTCAATTGATCCACATAATTCTGCCGTGACCAGGGGAAAGCTGACAATATATTTTAGCAAATATTATGGGGAATATGTTTCGTTGTAAAAACCACACAAAAACATCGCTTTAAAAATGATATAATCAATATGAGAAAAAAACCTAATTTCAGCACTTTAAAATATCTTTTGTGAAAAAAAGGTAATGCATCGACAGTAAAGTATTCCTGGATCAAAACTTGTTCAATCTTGTGATGTTCTCCCAGCATTTGAATGTTGCGTTCCGTCAATTTTTTGAGGTGGTGGTTTAATGTTTAATGTATATAAATGCACTTCAATTTAAAAACGCAATTCTTAATGGCCATGGCCTGTCAATATGGCTTAATGCCCCTCTTTCCGGCAAGCCTTCAATAATTCAATAATCCAATACTTCTGATTGGTGACAGCAGTATTACATGACCAGGGGGCTCATTACAGTAACTGCTCAGCCCATATACTTTAAAAGGTCCTCTCGCCAAATTCCAGTATGAATTTCACATAAGATATACCTACACATATGCTTTATGCGGCCCCTTAAGCCCATTAATATGTATCATTCACCGTATCGACTTTAAAATAAATTACCTTTGCCTAAATACATTTCCCCTCCACAACATATAATTTGATTTTCAAGGTTTGCAACAAAATGTTTACAGTAGGGCATTGCTAAATAATATATGAGTTACGATTCATTAAAGCTAAAAAGAAATGTGCTAACATTTTAAGGTGTGTTGGCAGTGTCCAAGCCTACAGTATTTTAATGCAGTTATATTCAATTACATAGGTGGTAAAGAGATTCTGTTATTGCCTGCGCACAGCGGAAAGCATCTTAATAGTTGGAAGGTGTTGCAACACATTGTAAATTACATTGGTGGCACCGTGACACATGCCAAAATCACGTGTGTCTCCAAGCACATGCTGGGGATATATGGCCAAATAAAAAATGTACAATATCCAGTTTTCCATTTTCTTCCCTTATTTAAAAATAAAATAGTGGAATAAAAAAAATAATCAATCGTAATTACTTTTAGCATTTCTTCGTCCAAGTTTTTAATGGAAATATTATTTTTTCTTGCAGGTTTTGGCCAATAGAGGCTAGATTCTTTTTACATTTGAGCCTCAAAAGAGATGTTTTTTGTTAATATGAATGAATTTTTGGTATAAGTATATATTTTTTCGAAATTTATCCCAATATGAGTTATGTAATGTTGATTAGATTTAGCATCATAAAAATGGCTCAAAATAAAAATGTCAACGTATTACAGATTACAGTTTGTAGTGTTAGGGCTATGATTTTATGGAATAGCAACTTTGATTGAGGTTATGGGTTTTGTTTAGGAAGTAGAGTTTAGCCTCGAGTCAGGGTTAGAAGTTAGGGTTAGAGGTTGTAACTAGGATCACACTTGCAGCCTTGGCCTGTTGGTGAGACACAAAATCAACCTAAAAACTGTAGGACATGTCTCCCTCTACTCTGCTGCCTCTGCTGTTGGGAATTACCCCCCCCCCGCCCATCATTGTCCACTGATTCCACCTTGGTGTAATGGTCAGAATAAATGACTTGAAATCCTGAGATCCCTGGTTGGTCCTCCCGGCGCAGCAGTTGAAACAATGGGAAATTTTCTCTTAATGTGTACACCACCGGTAAGTAAATCAAGTGAGGTGTAGTGTGGGTACTACACCTCTTCGGAGATGTCTGCTCAGCATTGAAGATTAGGGGCTCCAGAGCTCCAGCAGTGGCATAAGCACGAAATTTCAGCTCTGCGCTTTAACCTTCTTTGACCTTTTAAAGTTCTGCACACTGCTCGTTCGCTATCCCTTTTTAAGTCAACACTTCAGACCTTCTCTCTCTCTCTCCCTCCCGTTGACTAATAACGCTCTCCCTCTTTTTCCCCGCCCCTTCGGCCTTCCATCCAAATCGTCACCCCTCCCATTCTTCCCCTGATTACATAAATTATAGATTTTGCTGCCTCAATCATTGCACATCACAGTACAATTCCACCACCTGTGTGGGGTAACGGTGGTTGAGACGACATGCACATGGTGTGCAGCTCTGCTGCTCAATCTGTCCAGATCCTGCTTGTGTTTAGATTTTAGTTTTATTATTTATTATTACGTATTTTTTTTTTCTGAATGTCCCGGTTTACGTTTTGATGCTTGCCCTGTACAGCCTCTTAAGATACCGGGGGTATTTATATGCCATATAAATTGAAATTATTATTAGTATAAGTTGGATTGAACAATAGAGTTACCAGTATAGGTTACGGCTAGGAGATAAGAGAATAGGGGTATCCATATTTGTATATTTTGTTTAAATGGTATATTTACATTTGTAAATACAAATATGAACATTTTCATAATTTTTTTTACAAAAAACTTGGTGGTAGTATATAAGTGTGTGTTCTATTTTTTTAATTAAATTCATAGCATGCAAAAGTTTTTCCCAAACGTTTCCACTTGCAGCATGTGTTATTTTCAGTTTTTCTAAAAAATAATGCTGACAATTTTGGACTAGTTCTATCCACAAACAACATAATTTAAAGTATGACTATTTCTTTTTAGGACACTCTTCATATATTAGATTTCACAAGCACAAATTTTCGTAATTATCTGGGCTATATTTAAAGATGATTTAATTGATTTATACAATATAGAATTATTTTAAATATAAGCAATAGCGATCTAAAAGCGTCATGTTATTTTATTGTCGGGATACATGTGTATCACTTTTTTGAAACAATATTTTTTTTATAATAAACTATAAGTACGGCTCTGTTATTTTTTCAAAATATATAATGGAGAGAACGATGCAACGCACAGGTGAAAACATGTTTACAATGATTCAAAGGGGTGCAAGGTTACGAAGCAAAGTCACAGTGAAACAATAGGAAATGTCAATTTCTCTAAACAAATGTGTTCCGTCACTTGATAAAGTCCCATTAACGAAACAAGCATCATCACATCGTGTGTGTCCTTGGAATTTTCATTTGTGCACGAGTTTATACAATGCACAGCAGTGGTCAGCAGATGTGCATGAGATAAAGAACCTTAAAGAGTCTCTCTCGAAAGAATAAATAAGATATGTGTCAGAGGCTTGGAAGAATTCCCGACTTGCATCCCGTCACTCAGCTTGGCAGCAGCACGTGCCTCCATCCTGCAAGCAGAATTAAACACGAGGATATTTTTATTCTGCGGCTGAAAAATGCAATAGATGACACGAGGGTTGCCAAACTACATTCCCCTGCAAAAAAACAGGAAGAGTACAGGGCAGCAGACGCTGCATAACATATGTTGCATATCCGCCGTTCTGTATTTACTCTGTTGAATTGTACATTATTCTTATCAACTGGTAAAGTAAATAAATAGGATCAAACAATTTCCACCGCTGGAAAAAAATGCTTTACCTTGTTCTTGCATGAGCCGTGGACATGCCGTGGCAGTTAATTCAATTTAAAATACGTCGCCCGTGGTAACAAGTTTATTACTACAAACCTGGCACGGCTCATTAATATTAAAGAGGTATTACAGAATGACGGAGCGGGCGACTGGCAGCACTGTTTGCTTTGGGCGTGCGGAAGGCAGTTGTGGCGGTGACGTTTGTCATTCCCGTTAATGGTAAATGATCTGATAAAGCACTCATTAGGTGCACGTGGCAGATGTGACAGCGCACACTGACAGCTGAGCAAATCAAACTCTTTACTCAGTTTTAAACGACCGTGTGCCACAATATGGTGCCACCGGAAACTTAATGGGGCTCATTTCACAACATTCTAAACGCTCAGACGATATGCCTGGTCTCACGTGCCACGGTCCCAACGCACGCGGTAATGTTGTCTAAAACCCTGATGGATTTGTCCAGGAAGAGGCCTCGTACCGCAAACATCATTGAAAGGGTATGCATGCGATAGTGTTCTGTAGAACAGATGTAAAAAAAAATTAAGCGTAATGATTATTTACACAAAAATCCATGGCATGTCTATCTCGAGCTGGTTTCAACCGTTGCACGCTATGGTTAAATTGCAAAAACAACACATGCATTAGTCGGCTATGACTTATATTGAATATAAATATACAATGTCCAGCCAAGCGTGTATTCGTCACCACGCTCAAGTGACCCTAACACAAACCTGCTAAGCTTACCTTATAATGTAATAGCGTGCACAACTTAAGTTGATTTCGTCTCCATCACAATTTTTTAAATGAAACAGTTTGGTATGTTTGATCATTTACTTGTGATTGTTGCAGAGATCTGATGTATTGCTGCCATATTACTGCGACTCCCTTACAGAGGAAAGTAAATCTCAGGGGCCAGTGCTGGCAAAATAAAGTTGGGTATTTAAACTAAACTGAACTTTTTATTTTACCAGGTAAGACCCACTGAGCTATATAGCTCTTTTTCAGAAGCGACCTGGCCACAAATGATAGCTCAACGAAGTGGCTTATCATGTGGAAATGTATAGCAGCCACATAATCTAAACGCAGCACATCCACCCGCGTGGGCATGCACAAGCGTGCATAATAATAATTGAGAATTTACTGCCCTTTCTCAGTTCACTGCTGGATGAATGGTTCCCCGCGTATCGATCACGGGAGTTGTTGAACATACATCGCCAAGCTGTCCATTGCAGATTGGCGACAGAGTGGGCGGGAAAGGCAGGTGTTGGTTTATTAAGATATAACGAGCTACTTACGTTACCTGATGCCCGGAATCAAACTCATACATACAGTGGTGTATATGGCAGCTGGGTGGCACAGTGTTAAAGGTAGTGCCTGGGCTTGATTCCCGACTCGGTAAACGTGGAGTTTGTAAATTTATACCTGGAGTGTGTATCTTCTCCGACTGTTCTGTTATGGGTTTCATCTGGGTTGTCCGGTTCAATCCCAGAGCTAAAAAAAAGCGTAGAATGTAAATTATAATGGCCAAAACATAACAACGCAAAAAATACTTGAAAATTACTCAATTGGGATTACACACAGCAACAACATCGCCCCCTACTGCAAAAACTTCGCACTCGGCGAGGCCTCCTGAGTTAACAAACGCAATTAAGTCAAAATGTAAACGGAAATAAATAAATAACATGGAGAGGTGGTCATGTGAGCGTGGGTGGCGTGATGCCTTGCTCTCAGATGTGTCTTTGGGTTGTTCCTCGTGTCGTTCAGCACATCCTGGGAGCTTCTCAGCTCCCAGCACGTGAAGCAAAATATCGGACATCATGCCGAACGAACATTCGGTAAATCTAAATACACCTCGGAGCGACATGCAGCACAACCACAAAACGATACATACAGTATGGTATGGGAGCAGCGTCCCCTCCCTCTCTTGCTCCATCAAATCCATAAAATACCACGTTGCCTGGCCTAAGTATACAAGGCCAGTTCCCAACTCGCTAAAGGATAAGTCACCTTGTGCAAATACAATAGCAGATAAGTTTTTTTTGGAATTAGAAAGCCACGTCTCTACGTTATCCCTGTGCCCACCCCTTTACATTATAGCTCAATTCTGATGCACCCAAAATGAGCGATTGCCACACTTAGAATGAGCAAACGTATAACAGTCAATTACAGGGTCATCGATGCAGGGGAAGGACAAATTATGGATGACCAAATGAAATTGTCTCAAATGAAAGCGTGGAAGCTCTATCACAGATGGATGTATTCTAAGGACAACCAGCCATGTGTGTGTGTGTGCGCGTGGGTGCGTACCTGTGTTTTTTTCATTCAATGAGGAAATGCATGCTTGCATATGTGCTCCATGTGTGTGTGTTGACAGATTGTCTTGTCCTGGACATTCCCCAGGTTGCCTCAGCCTTAAATGAGCAGTTGATTCATTGAATAAACGGCCCTATAGATTCCAAGGTGGCCAGCTGTAGTGCTTACGACACCATCCCCTTGTGTGTTGTCTCGGCCTTACTAGCTGCTCGTTAATAGCACGTGCCCCCAACAGTCTATAACGTATATAAGGAAGATCTGTGTGGGCAGGTATGAACATCTGTTGGAAAAGGTGTGCATGCGTGACCCCCTAAGTGAGAATGATTGTGTGACTCCTGACTTTCTCCATTGGGCTACACTTTGGGGGATTGCCACCTGTCCTGATTTTCTCAGGATCATCCTCCTATTGAGGTACCTGTCCTGGGAGATATTTAAGTATTCATGGGACATCAATGGCCATATTCTTAGTCGTGGCTCAGTTCTGGTGTGGCATCTAACACGGCTCAGCTCACGCTTGAGTCGCTCGGTTGCTTTAAAAGATGCAGGAATTAGCAGCTCAGCAATGGCTTGGCTCCTACTCGGCTCATTGAAATCCTGAGCATGGCTGGGACCATCCTCTGAGCTGGCTCAAGTTGAGCTTGTCTTTGGGACAGCCGACTCGCACCAAAGCCAAGCCTGAGCCGAGTTGTGACTAAGAATACGGGCCCCAAAAGTCAAGTTTTTTTTGTCAGTTGTATAATAACACACCCCTGAAGACAACGTAGTTACATGTAGTTATCCCCTCTTCCGGCCGTGCCAGATATTCGTCTTCTTCCCATGATATGTCCCACTTTATTTGTATCTCAAAGGTGGCAACCCAGGCTAGAGTGCATTTGCCTGCGAGTAGGTACCAACGCCACCTGAGTGAGAGAACACTGCGGTGTCTGTGGAAGACGTATGGAAACACTGTTTCCCTTGGTTCCCCCCTCAATTTAACCCCTGATTAGATGTACATAACCAATAAACATTACAGGCTATAAGAACGCACAGAAAAAAATGAGTTGCTTCTCGGAAGGCAAGGCAGAGAGGGGCAAAGGTGGTCGATGGAAGGAAACCAATTTTCCAATCAAGAGTCACGACGTGATTAATTCACAGAAAATAATAACGGAGGTAATTTCACTTAATTGCCGTTTTTCAGTTTTTCTCCATAGCCTGTACATTCAACGGTCATTTCCTTTCTGTTATAGGAATGTTAGACAGCACACCTTACAGCCATTTTAAAGAAATACACATATCAGTAAGAGGTTTTGTCTTTCTAAGTTTAGTTTTTTAATACCGCAAAAAACCTATCAATTGCACGTTATGACAAGGACATGTGAGATTAGTTTAGCCAATTATTTTATGTTCCTAAAATGTGTTAAAACGTCGTCGGTTATATTATTCCTCGAGCTATTGCGAAAAATACACGGCACACCATATGGTGTCGAAGCATGGTGTGAGCTGTCAATCAGTTTGACTGTTCAATTTTTGTCATTGAAAAAAACTTGGTGTTCACATTGACCGGCTGAAGGGGCAATGTTATCACGACACGTGAACCCCAAAACATTGTGCCCTTTCCGTTGTTTCGGCAATAAAGGCAAGGCAAGATTGAACCCTGCACCGACGTAATAGTCACATAAAGCAATAATGGCAACATTCATATTTAATGGCACGTAGTCATCATGGGTTAACATTACTTTCAAGCTGCAGAAATGGCAGGAGCAAACGTAATGACAGGGCGACCAGATGTATGCACGGCAATAACAACGGAGCCTTCAATGACACTTAGCTACATGTTATTAGTGCATAAAATCACTGATGCTGCACAAAACGGGTGTTTCTTCTTTCGTTATATATTGACTTTACAAGGACACGCACCATTTCTCATTCAGCATGGGCCTCTTAAGCGCCTCCACAATGAAGTGTGAAAGTACTGCAGCACATATGGTCGGACGCATTGCCTGCGCATTTGCGTTCTAAGCCATGTCGGTTGTTGCTGTGTACCAATGTGCATTTAAGTTCCACGAGTTTAACGCCGTTTCATAAAGTGTGTAAGGGTGGAGCGGTGGTGCAGTGGTTAGTGCGCTGCGCTATCCAATGGGTCAAATAAACATAGGTGCCTGTGTGGTAAAACCACCCCCATGAACGGCCAGGAATTGGGAGGTCTTTATCCAGCAGTGGATTGATAAAGGGCTGGACATGATTTTTTAAATATATAAACTGTATATCTCAAAAGCTTGCATACATATCTCTAAATTATTAAACATATGGGTTTTTAGACATATATACACACACATGCTGATTCTAACATTTATTAAAAACTGTAAAACACTCTGGTTGGTGTAGCAGCCTCATTTTACAGGCTTGATTTTTTTCATCTACTTACAGGTTTATGATATCAAAAATGTGTTACGAAGAACAAATACAATGTGTTTTTTTTGTAGAGATGAATCACTTCGAGGCTCCAAAGGACTGGAATATTTTTTTTATCAAGTGACCCAAGAATGCCTTGGGTGGCACTGCCCTCTGTTGGTGCGAAATCTAATTTTTTTTTAATTCAGGGGCGATAAGGTTTACAAACAGATTAAGAATAATAAAAATTAAAAATACAATAACAATTTATCAACTTAATGTTCAAGTAGCCATTACTCGTCTTAATTTCTAACTGAATATCTCAAAGCTTGAATTTATTACTCTCACCAGTTTGGCAGCATTCATATAATACTCAAGAGCCGTTACCCTAAAGAATATGCTATTCCTTCAAGGGTGTGACATCATATGGTTTGAAAATTATAGGACTAAGCTGGTGAAAGTTCAAGGCAAATTCTAATATTATTTAAATGCTCTTCCCAATGTGTTTGCGGGGTCGACTACAAATAAAATTCCTTGTGAAACGTCCGATATCATGCCAAACAACACAAGGTACAACCCTAAAACACATCAGAGTGTTAAACAGTACAACCACGAAAGCCTACGCAGTGATATTAAACCTGAAGAAACTGAGTTACAACTGTAAGCAATGTAAAGCCTGGCTCCTTAAAAGGACCTCTACTCGAGCCTCTCTCCCTTTGCCCTGGCTTCACTCAATGTTGAGCCATTTCACAGGACTAAAAGTCAATTGGAGTTCTTGTGATATCAGAGTAGCTACTAGCCTGGATCAATGAGAGGCAATTGAAATCATGCACCCATTATACTCCTGCTTTGTAAATAATGCTAAAAAAATTTTTTGCAAGAATCGTCATAATCAAGCATATTTCATTGTCTTGATAACTGCTATTACCCTCTGCTTCTTGGAAAGCCAAGTTTTTCAATGAAACCTCAGGAGACAAATTAGGACACTCCAATTTCAGGCGGTGCGCCAATTCAAGCTCGTTTGATGCAGGTGCCCCATGGTGTCTGACTTGATGTCTTTGAAGTTCATCCCACAGTTATGCTGTGGGAATACAACTACAGCTCTGCCCAGTCATTATATTCGAGATAGCATACCATGTTTATTTCCCCATTCGGTTCCTATGTGGCATACTACAGCAGTTTGAAGATACCCAAAACAACCAAATTATAAGTCTGAGGAAGCTCTCTTCCCTCCCCCGAGGCTCCTGACTAATAATAACAGTTTATTTACCCAGGAAAGCCTCACACTGAGTCTCAATACTTGTTTTCAAAAAGTACCATTGGTTGGGATCACTGGCCAAATTGCTTGTATATGCTCGCATGCGTTTAGTAAAGCTGGGACACTCGGAGAATATTCACAAGTTTGAGGGAAGCACATCACGGTCCGGATTAGTGACGTGTGGCAGCCGGTCACTTAAGGCAATCGATGTGCTGGAGTGATGATTCGCGTGCAGGGATGTGGCAGGACAAATGGCAAAGCTTGCGGAAGACGGAAATCAACCAGGTATGGTACAATCTTGTGTCTGGTAGTGCCTGACCTAGTGATGTTCGGGCCAAGCCCTCGTTTTATTAAAATACAATTGCTGTATGGTTGGTGGGAAAATTAAATATCGCGTATATGCGCACGTGCATACACGCGACCACAGCACAATGAACAGGAGCGACACTCATTCACTGCTCCACGATAACCATTCCGATGGGACACCGGAGTACAATTCCGTAGATAAGGAAAAGGTGAACATAATTGGATAATAGATTAAGCATTTAAGGGACTTATTAATTCCGTGAATAAGTTAAATGAATGTTGGCAAAGGTGGTAAAGAGTATGTTTGCTATTAAGTCCTACAATGAAGAAGCAATATTAAGAGAAAACATCTGTGGTGAGCCAGTCTTTTCTTCTTGGATTCCATACAAACACATGCAGTGATTAATGCATTACAAAGTGAAGGCTCATAGAAAAACAACCACAGGCAATGGTGTGCTATTGAAAGTCATCAGATAGGCACGACTCCCATCATGCCTTGCATGCATGTCATGTGACCACCACTTTGCCTTGTCTAGGCGATTAACTAAAAAACTATTTGAAAGTGTGGCCGTATTATTGTCTCGACGATCAATTCAAAGAAGTTGAGGCTGTGGCCGTCCCTTTAGGCATCTATCCTGTTTTGATAGTTCTTCTCATCATTATTAACGGAGAGGGTTGGATTTGAATCGAGCGAACGCTAATTGACTAAACGCAATTGCATATGGGGACTTGGGAAAAAAAGAAACCACCCAAGATAAGGAGAGGTGCATAATATAGAGGGAAGAAGTATTTATTTAAAATGGTAAATAAGAACAAGAAACGAATCCAATTAGTTTTAGACGGGTAGGGGAGGGGAGTGGTGGTGAAAGTGCATAGAGCACCAAAGTATGATATTCGTGCACTTTCATTGATTCCCAGCCACGGCGAACATCAGTGGCAAAGTGATACCTGAACCGGTTCTACACCCCGCTTCACTGTTCCACATTAACCAGCGTGGTAAAAATCTGATCAAATAATCCCTCTGGTGGACACAGTGTAGAGAAGCCTTTCATGCAGCAATGGCTTGACAATGATCTGTGAACTATTACCATTTAATTAAATGTCATTAATAGCAGGTGTCAACCCACCCACAGAATAGGTTAATATCCAGAAATTCATAAAATATCCAGGTAAATTATAATCCAAAGCACCATCATTATCATCATAACAATTGTAATACATATACCTCTCTTACAACAATTAGGTCCTTCAGCGCCGCATGAACCCTGTTACGTGACAATGGGGATGTGTTTAAGCTGATTAATCTGCATCAAAATGATATTTACGTCTAATGAATTAATCATCACAGTGTAATCGTAACGTGGTAAAAACATTCACGTACTCATCTTTCAAGAATTATCTGAATATATGGATCCACCGATCCCCAACACCCCCTTCCACGTAACGACACTGACGAGTGTGGTGAAGTATGGTCTTCATCTAGCAGTAGATTGACAAAGGGATGTACATTATTAGAGTTTTTTAATTATCATGGAAATACTGTAATATTGTAAAGAACATTTTGTTGAAGTTTAATCCGACATTTCGAATGCACTGCTATATGCAAAGCAGTAAAGTGGCGATGTACAAATCAATGAGTAACACTTAAGGTGACGGATTTATCCACTTATTGATTATTTGACCAGTGCTTTCAGGAAACCTCTTTTTAGTTCAGAATTTATGCAACTTACACAATATGGTTGCTGTTAGGATGAAATACAGTATTTCACTATTGGCATGGGGATGAAAAAAGTTATTGCACTGAAAAGTTACATGGAAATTCAAGCGAAACAACACACCGTTGCAGCGCTATATTGCGAGCTGGACCTCAGACGCACATTAACATTGAAAATATTGAGAAATTCCATAACGCAATAACAAACAACAAATTACCGCAGTGGAAGGCTCACGCTCTTAATGAGAGCTGTCGAGGCAATGTACAGTAAATATATTTTTTTCAAGTATTGAACACGAGAGACTGCTTATTTGGGACACTCTTCAAAACGTTGTTAAGACTGAAATAGAAATGGCATAGGAAGCCCGCGTTGAGCCCTTCAAGGCAATAAGCAGGCAGCGTAGGTGAGCGAACGAGCGAGCGCGAGCGCGCGCGCGCGCGCCGCTCTCACTTCTTGACCACACGCAGGGAGGCCCCAGGGCCCTGGCTGGAGGGGGAGCACCAACCTGCCCTTATTGACTCTCCCGGCCGTCCAATCACAGCGTGGTAATTTGTGGCCCACTTCAGGGGATAGTTTGGCAGGACCCAAAATGGGCCCACGAGTGATTTAGGCCTGCCCGGGCCTAAGCATTACTGGCCTTTGTTTGAAAACATGCCCCCAAGGCACAGTAAAATGATTTGTCACTATTAATCACATTGGAGATAAAGTGCCATGATCTAGTCCCTTGCTATATTAGATAATGTGTATATCAATATTCTACAGAGACATTACAACGGTACTTGCCAGTGTTTGCAGGACTCCTGCGTCACGTTCCTCCTCGTGTGATTCCAACAATATTTTTTTTTCAAATGTGCATTTAATCTGCGAGTTCGAATGCAAACTTTTAAATAGGCCATCAATAAAGGTGCCACACGCATTTCAATGCAAACATTTCATAATATCCTTGACTGAAGGTACACAAAATGAATGATATCCTTAAGCGTTTACTTTGTCAATGGGCGGCGAAATCTGTCGCATAAAATTCCAAAAAGCACAACACGACGATGAAAACTATATCTGTAGAAGTGTGGCCTCACACAACGGTAAAAAAAATGCCACAAAGGTTACATATGATAACATACACATGCGATATCCCTTACATATGGAAGTACTGTACTCCGTAATTATTTGCACATATATTGACAGGTGCATCAAAAAATGACGTGCCAAGAATATAAACAAAAAAATAAAGAAATGGGCCAGACAGGTGGAGTGTGTGGGCTTCTGATATTTGGCTCCGACTCTGATGAGAAGCATAAAAAACTCTCATCGTAAACCCTGACACCCCTCTTAACACCCGTCCCCCCCCCCCCCTCAGGCCACAGACCCAAATAATGAGCGTGGCGCCGGGAAGGAAAAAAATCAATCAGGAGCAATAAAACTCCGATTAATTTACGGCGCAATTTGCCATGCTGGGTTCAGCAGCCGATTGGGGAGCAAAATCGGGTGCGGCAAATGCCGTTTAACTGTCGATTGCTCCATTCATCACCAAGGAAGGGGTTAATAAATGAGAAAATTGGGGCA